GCCAAAGCCCGGGGCTGTGCTGTGAGCTCAGGGCACCTCTCCCAAGCTCAATGTCACTTAATTCCATTTGACATTAACCCAGTTTTTTACTTCCAGGTGAAAATGCTATCAGTGATGGTAATGTTCTCAGGACAGAGCTGAGGCAGGTGTGTGTGCCAGCACATGTGCAGAGCATAATGCTTTTTAAAAGCATGTTGTGACTGCTTGGTGTGGATGACACCAAGCCTGGTTGCTCATTTCTCCACTCCAAATGCTGGTAGGTGGCACTGCTGGCCCATGGAGGGGGCTGAGACAGAGTCAGAGCACAACAAAAACTGCTTCTCAGTCCCAACTTGTGTCCTGTGTCTTTACTCAGAGGACAGGAAAGACAGAGAGCAGCCAGAGCTGTATGAGCAAACAGCAGTGATGGTGCTGCCACCAGCCCTGCCCTTCCTCTGAAGCTGCCTGCTGCAGTTCAAAGGTTGGTGCATTAACTGCCAGGGTTGCTATCAGCTGGACACGTTTAATGCCACTTCTCAAACCAGTTCACTGTCACATAACGTGCATGCAGACAAAGCGTGTTCTGTGATCTGCATCTGAATGTCTGCTGCCTCCTCGGCGTTGTCTGATGATGGTAAGACCTGATAAATTCCACTTGCTTTGTCTCGATGCCACTCAACGGGAGAAACAAGTGTGAGTTTTGAATGTGCTGGAACCCAGTCTGGAACCAGCAGGACGTTAAGCATGATGTCCAGTTTGAAAATGCACCCAACTACTGTTCAGCAATGCACGATCAGATGGTAGGGAAGGCTCACTGATTTGAATCTTTTCTTGGTAAAGCCTTCAATGACTTTAAGCTTCAGTGGCTTCACTGGCAAGAGTTGAGGAATGCACTGAAACCAACAACATGAGAATGGAAGGTAAAGAGTCGGTTAACGTGAAACAGACAGACAGACACTTGTATGAAGGGCTGTGCTCACACTCGTGCTTTTGGTTTTGTACCAAGTAATTCCAAGCAGGATGTAACTACTGAATTGCTCTTTTCTCCTTCAAAACCACAAAGAGTTGAATGTAACCACCCTCTGGGAACCATTTCAAATATCCCTCGTTTCTCAGAGCTGTTAATTTAGAGTCCACACTTGCAGTCTCTGTAAATCTTTTCTAGAAGTCGCCTACCTAATTCTTCTTTAAGTCTTAATTTGACTGAGTAAAGCTTTCTTTCTCCAGACAGAGTAAATTGCATTGCCACAACTTTTAGTGCCAAGCTCTTTCATACCATTGCCAACCTGGTATGTGATCCACACTGCAAGTGTTCCTGCAATCAGGTTCTATAATATAGGTTTTGTCTATAATTCTTACAGATTCTTCACTAGTTTATCGTATTCCATTTGAAGAATAGAAACAGATCTCCTAAAAATTTGATTAAAAAAAAAATCCCAAGTCTTTGAAATAAAAAATTAATTGACTGCAATGGGTAAATTAATTCAGTAACATTCCCTGTTCTCTTAAACTGATCTACTTGATACGACAGCAGAAACTTTCAGGTATCACCTAATGTCACAACATTTTACTGCTTAATAGCCTGTCACGTTGTCCTCTTATACATTGACCTCATTCTCCAAGGAAATGTTTCAGCCATCACAGAGTCTCACTTTTCTGAACAAACCCCTTCTATTCTGTGAAGGGATCTGCATGTTGAAATTTGCAGTTCTTTGCCTAAAACCTGCTCTTCTATTTCCTTTAGTGAAACATTTGCTGACAAACCTGTAAAATCCTCAGGGGATGTTTGGGATGGAGGTGGTTCACCTACCCACTAGGATGGAGGTTTCTGGATACCCTACAGCTCCTTTCCCACTGGGTTTGCTTGGAAACTGCTGTTACCTTCATTTCATCTTTGCCCATCCACTGCTTCCAGTTCACTGCTCAGCTTTGGAGTCTGCACCTGCAATCAGAAGTAGGGAAAAATGCAGCAGCATTGCAAGGTGCTGCAATGGTGTAGATACCAAAGGAATGCAGGACAGACACCGGAGATCTGGGAGCTGCCATACACTGCTGCACCATCCCAGGACTATCTGCTTTGCTCAGGTGAGCTGGGGACTCGTTCTGCCCCAAAGCCACAGCCAGCAATGGGGCTGGTGGGGACCCTGACAATGCCTCCTGGCACCCTGTGCTCAGCAATGGTGTTGCAAACACTCCATGTGATTTCAGCCCATTGCACGAATTCTTGAAACCAAAGATGGGTATTTTAGTGTTTGTTTTGATGCCAGTAGTTATGTCCACATAGTCAACTTAAAGAGCTCCCAGATATGACTCGGGGCTGAAGGGCACATTAGACTCATTAATGTGCTCACATCCACGATTCAGCCAGCAGTTATGGGCTGCCTTCATTTTCCAGCAACACGCTGGTTCCTGGCAAAAAAGCATGAACTTATTAACTGCTGTGCTGATGGGTTTAAGTTGTCTACAGTGCGTATTGGGGTATGGCTCTGGGGAGGTGACAACACAGGCTTTCCCTCCTGTGGGTGGTGGTATGAAATAAAGCGTTAGATTAAAGATTTAATTGGAAGTTAGGAAGCAATTCTTTTCTCAGAGGGCAGTGAGGCCACAGAGCAGTGGGTGCCCCATCGCTGGGGGTGCTCAGAGCCAGGCTGGATGGGGCTCTGGGCTGCCAGCCCATGGCAGGGGGATTGGAGCTAGATTATCTTGAACATATCTTCCGACCTAAGACATTCTATGATTTATTAATGTAGCTCCACTGTACCATCCTGGAGACATCAGGTACTAGCTCATCAGATGCTACAAACTTTGTTTTTTGTTGTTTTGGTCTTTTTTATATGCTATCACTAAACTTTGTGGCTCTGCTAAGACTTGTAATTGTATAACTGCAAGGGGGCAACACATTGCTCAACTTTACTGAATTGAAAAACATAAGCCTCCATGAGAACGGATACAAACCTGGGGTTTCTTTACCCAGCTCCCCTTTATTATTTCTTTAACCTGCAGTACTTTCAGTGACCTGTAAATTGCTTTTGCCACTGCAGAGATGCTTAGCACGAGCTCTGTGTGCTCACTGGCTGCGCAATGCACCCAAGAGGGCTGCTGGAGGTTTCTAAAAGAAAAGAATCTCCAGACCTCCAGGTTGGTGGCAGGCTTCTTAAATCTATGCAAAATTGTTTTGAAAATCTCAGTGACTGCACAGTATGAGGCTCAGGGAAGGAAGCTGTGAAAGGGCCAGGAAATGGGGTGGGTACAGAACCCTTCCAGCCAACCAAACCCCTGCTGAGCCACAAAGTGCAGCACCACCCAGCACTGGGGGAAAAGAGAAAAGCAATTAAATCCTTCTGAAAAGGCACTATTCCAGTGATAGTTACAGACTGGCTCTCAAACCCCAGATACAAACAGGGAAGGGAAGGCTGACAAACAAGCACTGTGAACTGTGAACTCTGAAAGCCTTGTTTGTAAAGCCTCACCCTGACCATGACACAGAGCCCAGTGCCTCACCCAGCTGCTCCACACCTCCTCGGCCGCCCTTGCTGGCAGCCAGGCCTTGTGCACCTCCAGCTCACTGCCACAGCCCTCCTGCCACAGCCTGGCAGCACTGCCCTGATCAAACTGATTGATCAGCATCTCGCATTTGTATCTCCCCACAAAGGCTCCTTACCACCCGTCTCAGCACACGGAGCAGCAAGGACTGCTGGCTCTTTGCTCAGTGAATCACAGAACGGCCGGGGTTGGAAGGGACCTCAGCGATCGTGAATCTCCAACCCCCCCACCAATGCAGGGCCACCAACCTCCACATTTCATAGCAGCCCAGGCTGCCCAGGGCCCCATCCAACCTGGCCTTGAACACCTCCAGGGATGGACGAGGCATCACAGCCTCTCTGGGCAGCTGTTCCAGCACCTCACCGCTCTCATAGTAAAGAACTAAAGGATGATGCTACAATTCAACCCTGCTGCTCGGAGCCTGGGCACGCTGTGAGCCCTCAGGTTTGCTGTTTGAATGGCAAACAGCAACTTCGCAGGGCTGGGCACGCCTGGCTGACAGGGCCGGCACACGGCACTGCTGTGGACCTGCCTTGCTGCACGAGTCCCTGCCGCTGCACGGCTTTCCGCTGCTCACCCTGTGGCGGTGGGTGAGGAGCGGGGCGGTGGCTCAGAGCCGTGACACGGGAGAGGGCTCCGGGCCCTGAGGGAACCCGACCCGAGCGGTCCCCTCGGCACGAGGTGCCGTCACTCCACGCGAAGCCCTCAGCCCCGCTTTCCGCACCGAAGCGCCGTCCCGCCGCCCTCGCAGCCCGCCGTGACCGCGGAGCCCCGCGGCGACCCGCGGGGCCACGCGAGGACGCGGCGCCCCCGCACAACATGGCGGACGGCTGACGACACCGGGCGGCGTCAATCAAGCCGAGGGAGCCAATCAGATCCCGGAGCTGCCCGCCGGGGCGGGGCTCGCCCGCCAGCCGCGGGTTGGTAGTCCCGGCCGCGTGGCGCAGCGATACGGGCGCGGTGCGGCCGTTCCGAGAAGTGATGCGAGCGGGCGGAATTTCCCCGGCGTCGCGATTGCGACAGAGCTGCGTCGTGTCCTTCCCCGGCGGGGCGGAGGGAGGGGAGCGGTCGCGGCGACTGCGGAGCTCTGCCGAGGCGGAGCGGAGGTTGTAAATAAGGCCTGGTGCCGTGCCGGTGCTCCCCGTCCGCCGGCCGTACCGAACGAGAGAAGAACGTCTGTACGAGAGCGGGCGACGACGCACGCGTCAACGTGGAGCCGCGATTTCCTCGCGTCTCGGAGCGATTCCTCCACGTCGCTCAGAATGGCTTAAAGAGGACGGGCTTTGAGCGTCCAGCGATCTGAAGCCGACGGCAGCGCAGAACGCATAGACCGCGCAGCCCGGCGCCGCCCGCCGTTCCCTCAGCCGCTCAGGGCGGGGTCGAAGCGGGCGGACTCTTTTTTCCCGCCGCGCCGCGCGGTGCCGCCGAGTGCTGCGTCACAGCGCCGGGCCGCGCCAGTCCGTGCGTGGCTGCGGAGCGGAGCGGCCGCCATCATGGCCTCCGCCGCCGCGCACCCGGCCCCCCCGCCCGCCGCCGCCCCGGCTGTCGCCGCCGCCTCCTCGTCCGCCGCCCCGCCGCCGCCGCCACCGCCCCCCGCCGCTCCGGGCATCCTGATCGGCGACCGGCTGTACTCGGAGGTGTCGCTCACCATCGACCACTCGCTCATCCCCGAGGAGCGGCTCTCGCCCACCCCTTCCATGCAGGACGGCCTGGACCTGCAGTGCGAGACCGACCTGCGCATCCTGGGCTGCGAGCTGATCCAGGCGGCCGGCATCCTGCTGCGCCTGCCGCAGGTGGGGCCGGCCGGGGGGGCGCCATTGTGGCGGGGGGCGGCGGCGCTCGCACAAAATGGCGGCGAGCGCGCGCGCTGACGGCCGCCTCCTCTCTGCCCTCACAGGTGGCGATGGCGACCGGACAGGTGCTTTTCCACCGCTTCTTCTACTCCAAGTCCTTCGTCAAGCACAGCTTCGAGGTGAGCGGGGCCGGGGGAGGCGCGGGCGGCGCTCGGCGCGCGTCGGTTCGGGGTTTCCGAAGGGTCTGACGGAGCCGGCCTTCCCCGCAGATCGTCGCCATGGCCTGCATTAACCTCGCGTCTAAAATCGAAGAGGCGCCGCGGCGGATCAGGGACGTGATCAACGTGTTCCACCACCTGAGGCAGCTCAGAGCCAAAAGGTAAGGCCGTGTGCCGCCCCCGGCTCCCTGTCACCGCATCGCCCCGGCCTGCCGGCTGGCAGCTCCCTGAAGGCAGCTTTAGGCACCGCCGGCCGACGAGCCTTCAGACCAGAGCGCCCCCCATGCCTTCCTCGTGAGTCAGTTTGCAGAGGGGGAAGGCTGAGCTCGTAGCGGTAGTGGCGTTGTACTGTAGAAACGGTGGTTTTTGGAAGGAATCTGAAGAGAGAGGCTTGGCTGACAGTGTGTACGGCTGTAATGACAGCACCTCGACAAGGAGGAAGTGCGATTGAGCCTTGGAAGATGGAGGTGTCTCAAATTGCAAAAAGTGAGGCTTCTGGTCTTCTGTGGTACTGTGTGCTTGTGTAAGTCCTTGGAGATGGAGTGTAAGCTCACCTGATCCGTGTGCAGATCTGTAGCTGTGGGCTGTTGTCAGCTGTGAGTGCCTCATTCTGCTTTTTTGTGTGGAAAGCAGTGTCTGTTTTCATGTGGAAAGCAGATCGTGTGTTGAAGAGGAAAAAGGAATGGGAAGGAGAGTTACCATTAAATTTACCAGTTTCCTTTAATATGTTGTGCAGCAGCGTTACAGACCGAGCTGGGAGACTTCAGCTTTGGTGAAGTGGCTTTAATTCTAGAATGTGATTACTTCAGATAATCCATAGCTCTAAAGGCAGGGTTTTCAGCTAGGTTTTTAAGTTCACGCTTTCGTGTATGGGTTTGTATCGCCAGGTTACGGCAGGAGTTCAAACTAAGCCTTGTGTTACCTTCTTGAAAGAGTAGAAATCTGTTAGGGAAGCCAGCTGTTCCTTGGGACACTTATCCCGGTTGTGGTTCTGCTGTGGCACCTAAAACATCTGCCTTCTGCTCGTGTCTTTGGAGTTAGCTTCAGATAAAAGAACGACTCAGTGTTAAAGTTCACATGGAACTTAGTTTTGTTGTGGGTTTTTTTTTTCCATTTCCATCTTGTTGTCCCTGATGGCCCAGAGAGAGTTTTGTGAAGTTACACAGAACGTGGATTCTGTGGTGGTTTCTTTTATGACGAGGAGATCTGGCTGTTGGGTTATTGGAATCACTTCATCAGCTTCTAATGTTTTGGCCTTGGTCTGGATGTGGAAGCCTTGTATGCAGTGCTCTTTTTTTTTGCTTTTCTTTTTTTTGTAAGGAGAACACAAATAAGTAGTTTCTGTGCTATATGCAGGATCAGAAGCTGAGCTTAACCTGCGAACTTAAGACTTTCCAGCTAGCCTGTTCCAAATCAGAATGTCACTTACAGATGTTACGTAGTGACTTAAATGCATCGTGACAAGAAGTCATGCACTTCTGCCCTGTTATTATCTGGAAAAATGGGTATTGTTGGTCTGAGATTCTGAGTGAATCTACATGAAATCAATCTTAAAATGCTGAAGTCTGACATTCAGGCTTGTTTTTTTTTAAACAGGATGTAAACGTTTTTCTGTACTTTTTACAAGATGACATGTACATGATCTGTACACGTTATTAACTTCAACTCTTTTTTCCCTTGCAACCGACTATACAGCGACCAGCTACATTTACCAAAGCCTGGGTGATGTGGAGTGGTTCATAAAGATGAAGCTGTCGTCATGGCAACAGTGAGTGAAGTATCGAAAATCCCCAAGGAGAAGCCAGTGCTCTGAGAATAGGTCACTGGAATCGGGGGACTAACAGGTTGGCCGATGGTGAACCATTTGGAAGAACTCCTGTATCTTGTTATAAGCTTTTTTCTTTGCTGTCCAGGTTTTTAGAATACTAGCTTAATCTTCTTTTATCTGAAGCTAACACTTAGGCTGTAGCTAGTTTCTCACACCCGACCCAGAACTGAGATGAATGGTTAGGCTGCTTACTTTCTTTCTGCCTGTAGTTTAGTTTTTCCATTAACCGAAGCTCTTAACCCACGTGACATTTGAGTAGACTTGCTTTCTTAAACAGTTTGGGGTTCTTTGGTCCACTTTGTGGGTCTGTGTAAGTGCAGTTTGAGTTTGTAGTAAAACACGCCTTCATCACAAGGATGCAGAAGTCTTTAAATTTGTAAAGCTCTTCACATAAACGATTTGTAAGCAGTCCTTATGTGTTTGTTTGCAGAAGTGAGAATATAGCAATTGGGATTTCCTTTTGTAAGTCATGTAGTCAACTGAGTTACTGCTAGGTGGTATTTCTAATGCTGGGAAATAAGAAAGAGCTTTAAAAGAAGTGTTTTGGACAAGCACCTTAGCTTTTGAATCTCTCACAAGCATATGTCATGTAGTATTGCATGTGAAATGTTTGTGTGCATGAAGAAAAGTCGTATTATGAAAAATACTGCTTTTGAAAAAACATGTGCTGAAATATCTCTGTTCTCAGTCAAGTATAACTCGTGTTTAATGTGCAGAATGTAGTTTGAAGTTGATTTTACTTCTCTTAAATGTGCCTGAATGCTGCAGGTCTTTATGAGGCTTCAACCGAATGCGACTGCTGTCATTTGTAACCTCACAAGTGCTGCTCTGAGATGCTTGTTGGCTGTTCTCACTTCTGTTGCAGCAGTCCCACAGTCCCACACCTGTGCTCAGGTGGCCTGCATTAATTCACCGGTGTTCTTAACTGCTCTGTGAACCCGCAGTGCTTGCATTTACGATGCTGGGGACAAATGTAGAACTCTCTTTCTTTTGGAATTAGCTACCATAAGAGAGGTGTGCTCTTTGAAATGAGATGCTGATGCCACGCTGCACTGATCAGAAGTACGTGTTGCATTTTAAACAAAAGCACACGCAGGGTGCTTCTCCTCCAGCTTACCACGTGTTCCAGAGGTATCAAACGTTCGTACTGCATCTCGTGAAGCTGTAACTATGTCAAACAAACCCATCCTGTTTGCCAGAGGGATTTCAAAAAGGCATGTTTAATTTATTCTGTTACGGGCATGATGGAGTGTGCATATCTCCAGAGACTCCAATCCAGATTGTGTTTTGTGGCTGTTGGACTGATTCACCAAAATGGGCACTGTATGCTGCTCTTAAGTAAGAAGTCTTGCCTGGAGTGCTACTTTGCTTTGTAACAACAGATTGGAAGTAGGAAATTGTAATACTGCTTTGCTGTGTGGGGTTTGAAGCTTAGTTTTCTATAGAAGCTTTTAAATTATTTCCCTGACTTGTTACATGGTCCCAAAACTGATTACTTCCCAGTTCTGAGAAGCAAGGGCAGCAGATGCAGCATCCAGTTCCTCTCCTTGCCTTTCAGTGGGAATGCTAACAGTTTCACACAGGGAGATCTCTGAAGGCCACAGCTCCTAAGTAACAACATCCCCACACTGCAGAGCTGCTGGCAAAAGTGCTAAGCTGAGAAATCTGACAGTGGGGAACTTTGCTGCTGCCTGCAATGAGATGCAGTGCAGCCGTATGCAGACTTCTGGTTTTGGAGAAGTAGATGAAAGGCTGTTTGCTCCATCTGGACGTACCGTCCGCATAAACTGATGCTTTCGTGCCTTCCTGAGGCCTGTAGATCTCTGGAACTTGTCTCACAGGTGACAGAGCAGGTAACTGGGGGCACACAGTAAGGCACACTGCTGCTATGCAGTAAGGCTAAGCTTTCCATCACTCAGCCGTCAAACACAAAGTGTTTGCAGCGATCTGCACTGCAGAATGCCAGTGAAACTTGACATGCAGTGTGGCTGGCAGCCTTTTCTCTTGCACCATTAGCTCACTGCTTTTGTTTTCCTGACTTAGAAATGGCTTTTACAAAGAGCAGACCCAAATGGGAGGAAGTGATCCCACTGCAGGATGTGAAATGACCCTGTGTAGCCGTACGTCCTCCTTTTTGAGCTCTGAGACAGTAAATCAGAGCTGCTCAAGCCGTTTCCTCTAGACTTGGCTCCCCTGAAGCATTCTGCTAATGAACCTGAACTCGTTCCTGCTCTCAGTGATACCGTCCAGATAAAATTGCATCAAGTAATGCTGTTATAAAACTCACCAATTGGAAGTGAATTGGCTTCAGCTGATTGAACCTGTAGTTGGTTTTTCCAAGCAGTCCTCCCGCTCCAAAGCATTACTTCAGACTGCCCCTGCAGTGCTTGCTGCTGATACCCTAACTTCTCTATGGAACTGGTCACCTTAAACTTCAAGTCCTCCTTCTCCAGTTTCTTTGTGAAAAATGACATACTGACTGAGTTCCATGTGAAGTATCTGTAATCACAAACCTCGGGGACTCTGAGAGTTGATGAGAGAGGTGCCATTGCATGGCATGGAGAATGCTGACAGCAGCAGTACTGCTCCTGCTTGAGCTGCAGAGCCTTCCTGGCGTCGCAGAGCTGCTGGGAGCCATTCCTGGGCCCCTTGAGGGCTGGGGAGCTCATGCTTCAGGTGCATGGAGACACAGCACAGTGTTTTCATTGTTGAGGCGCATGGCTGCTTGTATTCCTTGACACAAGCTCCCAGTCATCCTTCCAGGTGGCTGCAGGAATCTTAAAGCCAGCTTTGCTGCAGCTGGGGAGCTTACTGGTTACTGTCGTAATTCAGTTGAGCCTTCCTTTCTGGGCTGGGAACTGAGGAGGCTTGGGGTGTTGTTTCCACTCTGATAGGGGAAGAAGCAGCGTGAGCAATTTGTGGAACTCTCACTGACTCAGGAAAAACAAGTCAGTAGCGAAATACGAAATCTTTTGAATCTACTTTGCATTACTGTTTTCTATTCAGGGTAAAATAATTGTGCCATTAGTACTGGGGTGAACTGGAGTTGTGGGTTAAACAGCTGTGGTTGACTGGAGTGTAAGTAGTTGCTGCACTACTCTTCTGCACTGGAAGGCATTGGGATGTGTCAGGCACCTTGCAAAAGGGAAAGGATCTTTGGGGCCAGTGTGGGGAGTGATGACAGATGGAGCCCAAGCACAGACAAAGGGAAGAGCACAGCTGGGGCACGATGCTCGTGCGTGACATGGCAGGTTAGTTCAGCTGAAAAGTAAAACACCAGAAAGCTTTGAAGAGTTCAGGTTTTGGATTTGGAAGGAATGGGGATTTGGATTGATAGCACCAGACTTTGGAATTTTGCCTTGCCAAATGGGTGACCGCTCTGCAGGTACTGATGGATGGCTGCAGTGCATGGAGCCACAGAGTTTCAAAGTTTAAATGCTTTGCTGTGTTAGACCTGTACATCACAGGAGGGCTGTCTTTCTGTCAGTATTGGAATAGTTTTGTCTTCTGGTGCACAGGAAACTGCAATTTGCAAAGCACGAGCTTGCTACATTAACATCAGTAAAACCCTTCTGAAAGCTGTTGTAACAATTGTGCTCCTCCTCCATTGTGAAGTACAGAGGTTCTCTGAGGTCTTTGCTGTAAAGCTGACTCCATTCCAGTAGCCAGGGCAGCGTGGTTTGCGTACACAGCAGGGAAGGATTTTTGTCTCTTGGCCATCTAATCCATAGGCAGTCAAACGCAGGAACTAAACTAGTTGATCTAAACTTGGACAGCACAAGATTAATGCTTAAACTTGCTTGCAGGAGTTGAAAACCGTTTTCTGTTGCCATTAGTTGGTTGGAAGGGAAAACAGAGTTGCTGCTATTTTTTTGGATATGCAAAACAGTTTTGATTTTATTTCTTGCAAACTATAGGACTCCAAGCCCCCTGATACTTGATCAGAACTACATAAACACCAAAAATCAAGTAATCAAAGCAGAAAGAAGGGTACTGAAGGAGTTGGGATTTTGTGTTCATGTCAAGCATCCACACAAGGTGAGTTACCAGTGATAATGTAACTTGTAAAGAGTGTCCTACCCTGAAGGTGTCACCGTGGGCTGTGGGACAGCAGGCGCAGATGTGAAAACGATCAGACTTCATCTGCTGGTTCCTCTGCTGTTGTCAGCAGTGCTTTTGCACAAGTGCTTTGCAGATAGCCGTGCTGAGCTGTGGTAGCAGTGAGCTCCCTGGGACTTTACAGGTGGTTGCTTTTGAAAATCACGGCCTGGGGGCAGAGTGGTGTCTGGATGTGGCTACTGGTGTGTGGGCTTAGAGCACGTAGCCAGGAGAGGAAGAGACCCCAGTGTTTTGCAATGCTGTTTGGCTGTAGGCAGTTGTTTCTTTACTGTTGCTTTATATGTTAAAACTGAGTCTCTTTTTTTTCTCTTTCCTTCCCCTCAGATCATTGTGATGTATTTACAAGTCTTAGAGTGTGAACGTAATCAAACCCTGGTACAGACAGCCTGGTAAGTGATTTTCTGTTCTCTTCCTAGCCAGGAAAATAGTAGCAGAAATAATAAGCCTGATGATCCATATGCAAAGCAATGAGATGTAAGTCATTACATAATTATTTACTTTCAAAACATTATAGTGCTTGTTTCTGCTTACTATTTTCATGGCTTGATTCCACTCTGTAATGGAGAACTCAATTTAACTTTGTTCTTTTTTCTACTCTTTAATTAAAGGGTAGTCCCTGATGGTAAGTCATAGAGCTCTGCCCTCGCACCTCAGCCCATGACCTGGGGATGGCCTGTTTGGCTGCCCTTCTCTCCAGCCAACCCAGTGCAAGCTCTCATCCGAGATTCACTGAAGTGGTCCATATCCATCGGGCAACATCTTCTAGTTCTGTCTGGGTGTCAAAAGGATTTGTATATTTGCTTTGAGAAGTACCTGTTAAAAATGTTTCTAAATGTATTTGTTGCCTAGCTACTGTATACTGCAGTTTATTTAGAGGGCCCATGGACACATTGGGGAGATCTGCCAACGTGAATTAGTTGGTTTTGCACTTGGCTAGACTCGAGGGTTGGTTTTTTGTTTTCCATACTAAAGTAGTGCATGAAGCATGTTCACTCATGTCTGTTCTGTACAGTCAATACTTGCTGACTGCTGTTCGTTTCTCTCCCGTAGCTCAGAAACTTTAAAAATCATGGAGATCTCTGCTGTTAAACTCTTGGCATGTGTTGCTTGGCAGTGCCACCATGCTGGAAGAGAAGTAGCCTAGTGAAGCAGGAGATCTGGTGCTAACTTGCTGACTTGTAGCTCTTTTTTAACACGGAGGTTTTAAACACAGCGAGCAAATCGGAGGCTTCTCCCTTGGGATGAAGTTGGTGTTAATCAGAGCACACATAAGGTCTAAATGCAATGTTCTGTGAACTTTATAGGTTGCATCTAGCCTCTGGAAAATGGTAGGTTAAAAACATGCTGTATTTTTATGCTTGCATTTGAGTCTTGAGCAGATTGATTTTTGAAATACGAGAACGTTGGTGTTTAAAGCAAACAGCTGCAGGGATGAGAAGCACTTGCTGGTTTGCTGCTCAGTGGACACTTCACGGTGCAACGTAACTTAGACAGAAGCTGTTACGTGGTGTTACTTGCATTGGCTTTTCAAAGCAATGGGAATGGTGCAGACTTCTTTAACAGAAGTAAGAACTGTAAACATCAAATGCAGTAACTAAAGAAACCAAATGATTTAATATAATAACAGGAAAAAATAATAAAGTCAATTGAGTCTCCAGTATTGTTGTGCTCTAAAGATGCAAACCTGAGATCCAACCTTGCCTGAATTCTGTCTTTTAGGAATTACATGAATGACAGCCTGCGAACAAACGTGTTTGTTCGCTTTCAGCCAGAGACTATAGCATGTGCTTGCATTTATCTTGCTGCTAGAGCTCTGCAGGTGAGTGCTGTTCTGCCTTTCTGCAGACTTCAGTTGCTAGAAGTTCAGTTTCAGGAGGCGGTGGCGGTGCGTGCAGTTGATCCCTGCTCTCAATGCAGCTTTGTTCCTTCCTTGCAGATCCCGCTGCCCACCCGCCCGCACTGGTTCTTGCTCTTCGGCACCACGGAAGAGGAGATCCAGGAGATTTGCCTCACAACTCTGAAGCTCTACACCAGAAAGAAGGTACCTCCGTGCTGTGTCTGTGTTCTGGGCAGCGCCTGCTGTCTCAGAGCTGGCTGGGGGCGCTGGGTGCATCTCTGTGTGGACGCAGTTGTGCAGCTGTGAGGGCTCTGCTGTGTGGCAGCTGCTGCCCAGGGAGGGGTGAGATCAGATGGCAGAAGCTCAGAAATGAGTTGCCTTGCTGGGCAGGTGATTGTGAGAGCTGTGTTGGGAGAAACGGGATGGAAACACAGGTGGCTGAAGTTTAACTTTGTGCCTCTTGTTACTTGAATAGCCCAATTACGAGCTGCTGGATAAAGAAGTGGAAAAAAGGAAAATGGCACTACAGGAAGCTAAACTGAAGGCAAAAGGCTTAAATCCGGATGGAACTCCAGCACTTTCGACACTGGGTGGCTTTTCTCCTGCATCCAAACCATGTAAGCTGGTTTTCTTGTACAGGAACTTGCGTGATACTACCTGAGACTATGTGAGGATTTTAAAACTGTACTGTTGTATTTGTTTTAAATGTAAGTTTGCTTGTTGAGCTGTAGGACAACATGGACTCTCTTAGAGAGCGAAGAAGCGAGAGACATTTTTCCAGTTACCAATAAGTGAAATAGCAAATTAGGGGGGAAGTAGAGCTGCTTTGCTCTCCTTATCTTCTGTACTCCCACAGGAGGGACAGGGGCATACTAATGTGGTGTTCCCTTCAGATTATTGAAAGTGTCCACACCAGGTATGCTGTACGTTACTGTGTTACAAAGAGCTGGGGATGTGATGTGTTGCAGGGCCCCAATAGGCTCAGGGCTCCTTTTGTAGCAGGTGTTTCTGCAAGCTGCTTTTCTGAAGTACTTTTGAGGCAGGCTATGGTCAGGAAGCAGAAGGGGAAGTGACAGCAATGGTGCTGTTGTGTCACAGTAAAACCCTGTAGTGCATATCTTCAATCAGGCAATGGAAAAAGCTGTCTGAACTCAGAACAGTTTTGTTTGCTCCATCTTACCTCTTGATGGCCCTCTTTCCACAGGTATTCATCAGGAGCTTAAGAGTTGCTTTGTAACCGTCATTTCTCTTGAAAACTGAACATCACTGAGTTAGCAAGGGCACGTTTCTCACTAAAAAACAAAAGGGCTTCCCTGTATTTGGGAAGTTGGAATTTGGCTTAGAAGAACTTGAGTGAAGGCAGGGCCTGCGGTGGGCGTTCAGCATCCTGCTGACTGGCAGCTCGGGGGCGGCTGCTGGCAAAGCTTTGCTTCCTGTGCTTTGTCAGTAAACCCGTGAGCCCCCTGTCCGTAGGGCAGCTGGCAGTGTGTGGCCCTCAGTGGCAGTGTTTTGCCTGGCATTTATCAGTTCCTCATCCACAGGGCTGGATGGGTTTGTAGCACACTTAGCCAAGCCAGTGGCAATGTTTCCAATGGGAGGAGCCTGCGGTCTTTGGCAGGGGATCTCAGTGTGGATTTTGAACTGAAGTTCTGTTCTTCTATTTGTTAGACTTGTACTAAGCACCTAAAAATGAAATCTGTCACTTTGCTGAGCAGTCTTGTTTCTGTTAGCTGCCATCATAGCAATTGAACGTGCGTGTCTCTGTCTGCCTGTGGGCATCTCCATCACTGTGCTGTTCTCAGGGGGAGAAGGAAATAGAATTGTACAGTCATAATGGTTGGAAAAGATCTCTAAGATCTAACAGTCCGACCATCCACCTCCCACCAGCATAACCCTCTAAGTCCCATCCCTCACTACCACATCTGCCTTTAAACTCCACCAGGGATGACAAATAGCAGCTCTTGAGTTCCTGTTTGCCCTTTCTACAAGCAGCAGGGATGGTATATACAAAAAAGTACAGTGTGCTTATGGCGAATTCCAGGTAAAACATCTAATCTCGAATTTAAATCTGCAGCTTCTCCAAGAGAAGTGAAAACTGAAGAGAAGAGTCCGGTACCTTTGAACACCAAAACCATTAAAAAAGAGCCAGAAGAAAGGCAGCAAGCTTCCAAGAGCCCTTACAATGGGTAGGTGGAAAAACTGTTCCAGGAGACTTTGCTCTCTTCGACTGAATTACTTCTGAGTTGATCAATGAAAGTGATGAACACCTCAGAAGGATAACCCTGTTTCTTTCTTCCCTGTTCCAGCATGAGGAAAGAAAGCAAGAGAAGTAGGAGCAGCAGAAGTGCCAGTCGGTCCAGGTCCAGGACAAAGTCCCGCTCTCGCTCTCATACTCCCAGGCGGCAGTAAGTGGTGCTTTCTGTTTGGGGGCTGGGGGCTGGGGCTGCTTGCTGTACTGTGCCTGCTCTTCTTTTGTCATTGTTCCCTGTGTTTTGTGGGATCAGAGGCAGTGTAGGCTGATGGCAGATCTGATGGCATGATCTGCTTTTAGACTTCATGCTGATATTTGGGGTGGAAACAGCGAACTTAAATGCCAATAAAGTGTTCCCCAGGTGTTGCTGATTTGGTTACTGCCTTTGTCCCTTCAACCTGATGTTGAGAGTTTGTGACAAGGTAGAATTGCAAAATAGATTCTGTCCCATTATGGTGTTCTGAGGACGCCACTCGCCCATCAGTTAGCCCCTCTGCACAGGGATTTCTCCCAGTAAGCTGGAAGCTTCTGAACAGGAAAATAAGCTTTTGTGTGTGTGTGAATGACACGTTTTAACCTTGTGCCGCTTCTGAAAGCTACAATAACAGGCGCAGTCTGTCTGGCACGTACAGCTCGAGGTCGAGAAGCAGGTCCCGCAGCCACAGCGGCAGCCCTCGCAGGCACCACAACCACGGCTCTCCGCACCTGAAGGCCAAGCACGGCAGGGAGGAGCTGAAGAGCGCAAACAGACACGGCCACAAAAGGAAAAAGTCTCGCTCGCGGTCGCAGAGCAAATCCAGGGATCATTCTGATGCTGCCAAGAAACACAGGCACGAGAGGGGGCACCACAGAGACAGGCGGGAGAGATCCCGCTCCTTCGAGAGGTCCCACAAAGGGAAACATCACAGCAGCAGCCGGTCGGGGCACAGCAGGCACAGGCGCTGAGCACTGAGCCGGGCTGGGTTCCGGCGGAGCCTGTACATAAAACACAGCATGGACTCGGGGGAGAGCAAGGGAATCGATGAGCATTTGATTAATTTAAACCCAGTATCTGATTTTTCTAAAACAAGTAGAGCGTTTTTCTTTTGGGAAAGAAACTGTTACCAACTTTTGCACATAATACCTTAGCAGTATCAGACGGATGGAGAACAGCGATCAGGTTGAACTGTATGTAGTAGAGTTGTGTATTGTTTATTGATATGAGAACTGGAGAATGGATTTCTGTACAAAAGCGAAATGTACCTTATTTTTATACAAGTCAATTGCAGACACTTATATTTAAGTATAGTTATTTGTTTAAACGATGGTGGATACTTTCTTACACTGGTTTTAGTCTGCATGTGTTAAAAGATTTTTACAAGAAATAAAATCTAAGGCTTTTTCTACTGCCTATTGGATGTCAAATAGTGAAGCTAAAAGGATTTTCTTTAATGTGGTGCTTTGAAGGTTGGATGGGAATGGGATGCTGGGCATTTGGGCATGTTTCTGCTGTGGTCAAAGGGCTGGGAGTAGCATAAAGGGAACCCTGGAACGCTTCAGAAGTTTGTGGGCTGCTTAGCGGGGTCATAAGGAGGACGGACAGCAGTTGGAGCACAGGAGCACGGTGTAAGTGTGCAAAGCTCAGGGACAGAGCAGCGGGTGGGAGCAGGCAGAAAGGCTGAGAGGGAAAGGGGCTGCATTTCACAGAATGTTGAGTGCCAGCATCCTGCCCCGCTGGGCCGTGTTCTGTACCTCCCTCAGCTGCTGCAGCCAGGAGCTCGACTTGCTGTCTGCTGCTCCTGCTTCCTCTGCGTGGTGGAGCTGGAAGAACAAAGCAGGGCAAGAGGCTCTTTAGGGTTTTCTTCCCTGTTTTCAGTACTGGTGGCCGGTGGTTGCAGGGAAGGGAGGAGCTGTGTATGTTCAGAAGGATCAGAGTTAAAATGCTTATAAACAGCTGCAGCAAAGGTGCCAGAAGTGCCCGTAGATTTGTGACTTTCTCCCTCTCCCTGCATCCCATCTTTGTGGACACAAAGAACTGCATGTGCTGCAATGCTGCTCCCAGTTGAAGGTCTGCAGTGTGTTTCACGTGGCTGCAGTGTGCAGGTGGACGAAGCCTGAGGCCATGTGAGCTGACAGAGCACCTGGGTGCTTCCAGGAGCAGGTCATGGTATGGCCAGGAATTCTGCAGAGCTCAGAAGAGACGAGGGGGAAGGTGACTGAGCAAAGGCTGCTTTGGAGCTGCTGTTCCTGCAGCAGGATGGCAGGCAGCTGCCTGCACCCCAGCTGCATCTACCTGCTAGAAATTCAGAAAGCGATGAAATCTTTGTTCCAACTTTGGAAAGATAAACGCATTCCTTATTTCTTGGTTACCCCTTTAAAACACACGTATATGTATTTGCAGTAACTTTCTGAAAGCAGCAGTGTTATGTTACTATGGCAATGAAGGTAACTTTTCCATAGATACGAGTATGGAGCCCTGGGCAGCCATAACAGCCTGGCTTCCAGGCAGCACAGTTAGCTCAGGCTCCCCTGGGTGTCAGAAGTTTGTGTCCTGTGGTGAAACTTTAAGGAAGAATCAGCCTCTGTGTTGGTGTTTGTGTGTAAGCACTGATTGCCCTTCTGTGCTCCCAGAGCCCTCGCTCCAGAGCTGAAGAGCAGGAGTTGTCTTCTGTGTAAAGCTGGAACATCTGGTGATGGGGAACATCTGGGCACCATCTGCTGCAGATTGCTTACACTGTGAGCTCGCAGGCAGCGAGCAGGGGTTCAGTGCTTGTCTCTTCTTTCCTGGGGAAAAAAGATGTGTTCAGTCAGCTTTACTGATGGCAGCCTTAACCAAGTAATGACTGCCAAAAATGGACCCTAAAATAAATGGTTTTGGTTAATGAAACAAAAGGAGATGATCTGTCTCAAAGCACTACTAAACGAGGGTCAGCATCGTGCAGTGGCATCACCACTGAGGGAGTGAGCAAAGTCTGAGCCCTGGGTCCACTGCACTAACAAATCAATGCATGGTAAAGTCACAGCCTTGTTTACGGGCGGCCCTGCCTTATTTTTTTACCACTAGACGTCATTAGGTGGTACTGAAGTCCAAATCACAAAAGCCAAAGGTTGGAGGACACTGTTACATGCACTCTTACATCTCCCTCCTGCTTTTAGGGCCTGCTCACAGCACGTGGCTGTACAGCATCAGCAGGAGTTCAGGGAGCGGAGCCTCTGCTCCCAGTCAACAGCAGCCTCTGTCCCTCTTCTGCAATTGCTGTGTGCCCCGTGCTCTGCAGCGCCCTATGGAACACACAGGTCTAAAGGTTCAGCCCCAGAGTGGAAATGCTTTCATGGTTTAAAAAAAAACAACAAGAACAAAACACCTACCATACTCTGCAACACTCCACTGCAAGAGTAGTTCCCCTCTTCCCCAGCCCCAGCTTGACTCACCATGCTTTCTCTTGCCAGGATGGATGAGAGCAGGACCCACTTGGGCTCAGTGCTGCAGCATCCAGCTGAAGCACAACAAAAGGCATTGCTGTCCTCCCTCTGCCTCCTTGGTACTTGCAGCAATTGCAGCCCCCGGTGCAGTGGCTGCAGTCAGGAAGGTTGCTCGGTTGGCTCTTTGCTGAGCAGATGGACGGCAGCAGCCCCGCGTTTGCTTTGTGCTGGGCAGCAGATGGCAGCCAGAGGGAGCAGGAAGGCACACGGTGCTGTGCTTCTGGCAAGAAATTGTTCCAACAGCAAAGTGCTGCAAGAGCATAAAGCTGTGCAATCAGAGGCTGCAATTCAGCGCAAGAGGAGACCAGGCAAAGGCTGCGGCCCAACAGATGGAGGTGCTGGGATGGGGCCGGCAGGGAGGAGCTCACGCACAGGGAAACAGCTGCCAGCATCGCAGGCTGAGCACAGGGTGCTGCCTTGAGGGCCTCTCCTTGGGAAATGCAGAGTGCTTCTGTGCAGCTGCTGCTGTGAGGGCACTGTGAGTGCAGGGAGGTGCACTGCCCTGCCTCTAACTTGCTTTCCCTCAGGAAGTTCCCACGGGGTCATGCTGCACTCCCAGCCCGTGCCCATGGCTCGCATTATCACTGCGGGGCTCCGGTGGCTGCACCCTGCTGAGGAAAAAACACTTCTGTGAAGGAAGCAGCTTCCCCTTCCCAGCTCCTGCCCGGCTGTGAACCAGCAGGGTCTTTGGAAAGCGGTAACATTAAAAAAAGCTGTTGTGAGAAAAAAAAAATCTTTATATTCCAATGGTAAGAAAAAAATTCCCAAAAACGTACCATTTTTGTCCCAAAAAACAAAACTCCTTGTTAAGGCTGAGCTGCTCACAGGGCCATCAGCTGCTCTGCTGCCATTCTGGGTTTTATTCTGTAGGTGGAAGTGTTGCAAAGCAGACGTGAGCAGCCTGTGCATGCATACACTCATGCAGCACTCCGTGCATGCAGGGCGCTGCCACAAGGCACAGTGCTGCCCAACCTGAGGCTGCTCTGAGCAGCAGGCAGTAGCTGGGGGTCACTTTAAGCCCCACAGGATCAGATGCTGCCCCGGGGTTGCAGAAGCAGCCTGGGGCTGCTCCAAGCTCTCAGCTGCCCCTTCTAGCACGTGGCTCCTGCATGCTGGAAAGGCTGCCACTTCCCAAGGGGAATGGCACCTCGTGCTTCCACCTGAGTTCGAGGAGGGCATAGGGCACAGCTCCATAGCCAAAAACAGCTTCGGGTAGGCAGGGTGGGGAGAATGATTTAAAGAAGGACTGCTGGTCAAAACATCAGTTCCAAGCCCAGGCAGGTCATGCTGCTGCATCCAGAGAGTGCAACAGCCTGCGTGCCACTGCATCCCTCCCAGCCCCTGCCAGACCCAAACCAGCTCTCCATTCTATTTCCAGTTTCCATCTGTGGTGAGTTTATAACTGAACTGGACACTCGGGGGTTATAGCACAGTAGTTTGCCATCAAGGAAACCGCAAGCAAGAAAGATGTTATCTCTACCATATGGTTCTTATTTGAGGAGATCTGTCAGGTTACATGAGCTGACACAACACAGCTTGGGGCTGGGTGTTGCTTTACGCTCACATGGGCTCCCAACACGGCAGAGCCCTGAACACAGCCCAGATCACAGCCCAGCACAGCAGTGCTGGCAATGGAGCACCCATCCTGCATGAGGGGCTTCAGAGCAGGTCCCAGCTGTGCCCCACAGCCAGCAGTGGCTCTATTTCTAAAACCTCACCCAGGTAAGGTACCAGGGAAGGCAGATGAAGGGGGACGCCAACAGCAAATCCAAATAGAGCACCCAAATCCAGGTGTGTGACCTTTTCTCCCTCCTTCAATGGCAAAACCCAGCAGTAGGACACAAGCGAGATCTCTCCAGGAGGCAGAGCTCAGCTTGGATCCCCACCACAGTAACCAGGCTGAAAAGAGGATGGAGTAAAGCAGCATGAGTGGGGCCAGGGCTGCTTTTAGTGACACGCACGTGGTGTGACAACATGAAACAGCAGCAGCTGCTAGTGTGATGGAGCAAGGGAAGGGTTGCAAGTAATTCCACAGCACCTAAACAGAAGCAAAGATAAAGGGTGAGAAAGCATCTCACTGTTAGCACCAGGACCATGGTCCCCCAGGACAGCTGCATACCTGCTAGGTGTGCTGTGTGTGCCAACAGAATCCTCAGGGCCATCCCCTGGTACAGTGGTGCTTCCTTCCACGAGGAGCACGGCAGGAGTGGAATATCCTCACCCTCTTTAATTTCTGTGGGCTCTTCAGATGCAACTTTTGCTTCTTTCGCTTTATAGCACAGGAATTACAAAGCCCAGCCATCCCTGTGTTGCTTTAGCATATGAATTACAGTCCCCTCTGAGCTCCAGCAGCTGCCTCAGTAACCCTGCGAGGAGGTGCTGCTGCTATTTTTAGCAGGAATCTACAAAAACAAAACCCAAAAAAGACATCAGCAAACATAATTAAGTTGGCAACCAGCAACCTATAAAAGCAGTGAGGCAATGCTGCTACTTGGTTACACCCACAGCGGCCATAAATCACCCCCCATCTGACCTCTTTCTGCACACTTCTGGGGGTTGCTGGTGTTCCTTTTTTGAGGTACTCTTCCCAAAATGCACATGTGGTTCTTTGTTCAGATCTTCACGATGATTAAAGTGACCACCCTGTCCTGGTAACTTGAAACACTCCTACAGCTCACACAATGCTCCACATACACAGGAAACAGCTGCAGAAATGGATGCCTAAATGGATTCCCATCAAAGCCAGTGATTCACAACAGGCAGTGCTCAGAAAGCAGCATCAGTTTCGGATTCCTGTGAAGGCAGCCCGCCCTCCTCAGCACTTTGTGCATCGTTATCCTTCATCACGTGCAGTTCTGGTGGATTTGCAGGACTTTCCAAGCACCCTTCTGGGGGTATCTCCATCCCCACATCAAGCCGCCAACTCAGTGCCTCTCAGCTGACCTGGGTATGGAGAGAAAGCAGCAACTCTTGAGGTAGGAGAGGCACCCCTGCCCCACTTGGGTTGTCTCGTTTCCCAGGGATATGCAAGCAGTGCCACTGCAGGGACAGGTGGGCAGCACAGAGATGCGACCCCCAGCCCAAACCAGCAGCAATGGGGAAGTGCTGCTCCTGCTCCTTACCCCAAGCTCTGCACCTCCCTCCCCTCTAGGTACTACTCATTAGAGGAAAGCAAAGTGAAGCAAAATAAATCACTTTCCACTTCACATAAACTGGGAGTCGGAAAATCCCATGTAGGTCACAGGCTGCTGCCAGCAGGGCTGCTCCTGACTGCCCATTTTCCATGGCTCTTTCCTGCCCACCCCGGTGACTCAGGCCATGGGGCTCCCATCCCCCTGAGGGCCAGCACAGCCTCAGGACATTTTCCTTTGCGCTGTGCTGAAACTTTCCTCTGCTAAATGTCATCACCCCATGACTCCCAGCCAGGACCACCCCACACTATTCCACACTTTCTCTGCTGTTTACTCCTTCAGTGAGTGAAAACTACAGCAGAAGTGGCTGCGGCTGCTGCTGACCACAAGTGCTCGACCCCCACCAAAACTGAGCCATCCCATCAACATCCCATCCCATAGGACAACGCCATGCTGCTGAGAGAGGGGCCACCCAATTTCGGATTTGGGTCTCCATGCTTCCTCCAGCCCAAAGCCTCCACTTTGGCCCTGAAATGATGGGGGTGGAGTGAGCTGCTAGGAAAGCTGCATCTGAGGAAGCAGCAGGAGGGGATAGGGCAAGGGACAGGAAGTGTGGACCTTGGCTTTGAACACATTTTCTACTCTTACCTTTGCCATAAAAAAGCCACATCTCCCAGATTTACCATAAATAACTGCTCCAATGTGGAAAAGGGCCAGCATGCTCCGTGCTCCTCTTGCTCTCATCTGCCCAGGTGTCCTCAGCCAGCTTCAAGCAGAAGGGCATATTGAGCCATCTGTATGCAGAAATGTGGAACTGAGAGCCAGCCCACAGTTTCAGTGCACAAGGTTTGGCAGGATGCACAACAGGGACAGGACAGGCACCCTGGCTTTCACAGAGAGGCTTTGAGAAATATCATTTTGCATGTGAAATCTATGCTGAAGGTACCAGTCACCTGATGGCACTCAGATTGAAACAGCTGCTAAGAATATTGTCCAAAGTCACCAAACAGCACAAAGACTGCAGTAAGCCAAAAAACTAGAAAACCACATGGGACAAGAGGCAACGGCTACAAGTTGTGCCAAGGGAGCTTCACGTTGGAAATCAGGAAAAATTTCTTCTCTGAAAGAGTGGTCAGACACTGGTACAGCTGCTCAGGGAGCAGTGGGGTCCAAACTGTGAGGATATGGCACAGAGAGATGTGGGCCCTGTGCATGGTGGGCTGGGGATCTCTGAGGTCTTTTCCAACCTTAATGATTCTGTGATTCTAAAGCAGAGACAGCTCCAGCTCCCTCTCATGCCATTTCAGCAAAAGGCAGTGGCTCTCAAGTTGTCCATGGTTGTAGCTGTGCTGAGAGCAAGCTGCTTCCACAATCGACCTGAAGAAACCCCTTAAAAGTGCACCCCTGCCCCATCTTGTGACCGACATGCTTCACTGTCTCCTTTTGTACTTTGTTCAGAGGTTGTCTGCAGCATTACAGACCTTCCACACGCCTCAGATCGCAGATGGTTTCTTTGCATCCACTGTAGTCAGGCACTGATGCTCCCGTTGTGAGCTCCTCTGAATGCTGAGCAGCAGCACACAGCCCACCACACCCTGCAGCCAGCAAGAAATGGAAAGTGAAATGCTCTGAGTCTGCTGCATGCAGCTGTGCCTTCTGCTCGGCGCGCCGCCTGGATTCCAAACTGTCACTGCTGCCAATCCGAATCTCTGTCAGAACTGGAATAAAAGCAACCCTAACAAATTAGCATTCAGTAGTGTGCAAACAGGAAATTTCAAACGCAATGAATGTTTGGAAATAACAGGTTCCTCTAAAGGAACCAGTTCCTGTACATTTATGGGATTGAGGAACCAGCAACGACAGGTTTTACAGGCTAAAATGGATCTGTGTCATCGTTTAAGTTCCTGACATTCAGAAATTACTGGATTCTGGGGAGATACTGAAATCTACACCTCTTCCAAAGCAGTTGGCAGGGCTCAACACCATGTTCAAAGCACAAGTGCAGCACAGGAGCAAAGAAGAGCCTCCACGCTACGACCTGGCACTGCTCCCAAAAGGTGACAGCTCACCTGAGGCTGTGCTGCAGCTTGGAGTGAGTGCTCAGACCTGAGCTGGTGCTACTTCCTCGTGCCTTCATACCCAGAACCTCCTGCATCAACACATCCATTTGGTTCTGAATTCTACTGAGTGCATGGCAGAGAACACAGAGCAGACATCTGATCAGCATGTCATGTTCACGATCCCTGCTATTTCACAAGCAGACCAAATGCTGCACAGGGACCAGATGAACAAATTTTGTTGCTCAGCATTTGCCCTGTTTGAAAGCTGCCCTGCACATAGATCAGGGCTGAATTTCAACCTGTCACTTACTTGGCCTGCAGTGCAAGGAGCAAAGCACGTGGTGTGACAAGGCAACAGCACAAAGCCTGCCACACACAGAGGGAGGTACAGTGAAGGCCTTCAGTACGAAGGCAAAGAACAAATACACAGTGCATGCAACACAACCTATGATCTGACAATGGCATCATTTTCCCAGCACGATGTGCACCCATCACAGCCTGCATTGCTCACTGCACTGCAGCACGCTGCTCACCCCAAGCTCCTCTCTGCCAGGCACCTCTAATTGGTATTTTCCTCACTTTTCCACGTGAAGCACATTGTGAAGGACTGTAGGACTGTTAGTGTAAGGCAAATCACAGCCAGCTGGTATGATCTGTGTATTGTAAGTTAACTTCTAACCACACATTCTTGCTTTTGCCAGAAGAACTGATGGAATTGGACTGGGTTTAGCTGAATGGCTGCAGTGAGATCCAGCCACACGTTACAGAAATAAGTGTTACTTCTGCAGGCTCCCCAGCCATCGTCCCTTGGCTTACTGGCAAGCAGCACAGCCACATCCCAGCACTGACCTTAACTCAGCAGCAATTCAAGGTTCCAGATGGAAAACTGCAGCTTGGGAAGATTTGTGGCTCGCTCCTGTCAGAAGATAGGAGGTGTCTCTTGAGATAGAGAGGAGCAAAAACACCCTGCTGGATCTGGCCACACTTGCTCGGAAGCGGTTTCTTTTCATTATCTGGGAACAGTTCACAGTGCAATGCCAGATGCCCATGTTTTCCATCACACAAATTGTATTTCCGGTGTTAAAACCTCTTCAGCATTAATCTTTTACAGCATCCTTTTTATTATCCTATCAAAATTAATTTTGTACTATGCTTTGAGGATGAAAAAAGCCACATAAGTGCTAAGCATGTTTGATTCCATTACTTCACAGCACTGCACTTGCATATGGTTTATCCTTTCATTAGCAGAATAAACTCAAATAACAACAGCAATTAAAGACACAACCTCATATCAGCTTTTCATGCTGCAAATATGTTTTTAAACAACTGAAAATAAAGACACGCAGCTTTTGCTTGAGACAGGAGATTTCCCTGATTCCATTCTTACACTTTTTCTTTTGCATTAATGGCAGGCAGTGCTTTCTGCAGCACGCTGCAGGCTGTGAAGGGAACTATAAAACACCAGGAGCCCAAACAAGAATTTGAAGTGAAGAACATCGCACAGCACAACCACTTCTTCAAGCAAATGCATTTCCTTCTGATGAATACATTTTGCTGACCTATGGCACTGGGTCCAGCTATTTCCACACACTTTCAAGGCTGCTACAACACCACAATGATCTTTTCCTAAGTCTGCTTTCTTCCTTTGCAGAACCACCCCACTTGCCAGCCCTGGGCTGCACTGCCAGGCGTTGCTCTGAGCTCTGCTCCCAACCCTGCTGCACACCCTGGCCTCCTATCCTGCTATGCAGCACAGCAGCTACTAACTCAGTCAGTGCTGTAAGGACAGATTCAGGATTCCACTCCCAACCAGGCAACAACATCAGCTCTGCCAAGGAACAACGGAGCAGCCTTTGCACGAGTCAAACAGCCACAGGCCACTTTCCTGCAACCTTGAGCAGTGAGAGGATGGCTGCTTCCTGCAGGCAGCTCAGGAGCCACAGAGGCCGATTTGTTCCAACTTGGCGGTTTGCAGTATTCCCTGGTGCCGTGAGTCCTGGAGTGCAAGGTCCAGCGTAAGAAAAACCCATTCATAAATGACACGGCTCCTACAAAACGCACTGCCTCCAGGAAGCTGCACTTCCTGAAATGTGGGGAGGGAATTAGCTGCCTGCCTTCTCCATGGCACTCTGCTGCTCTGCTTCACCCCACTGCGAGAAATGCTTTGTAAACTTTCCTTGACTTCGTGAGGTTACTTTGCAAAAGCTGGTGAACAAGGTTTCCTGATATTAATCCGCTTTGGTTATTGCTTAGCAGCCTGAGCTCTGGGTTTCTGCAAGCTATGGGAATGAGGGAAGTCTTGGCTCCTGACTCAGTGGGGGTTCATGATTTATGCTTCCACTCATGCTACAAACATTATTTCTGTGACTGCTCTCTTTATTCCACATGCTACTCCTTTCCCAGGATTTATGAACGTGAAGCCTTCCTTAGGGAGGTGTTGCAGGACACAACCAGCAGCCAGGAGCCCAGCTCTCAGCCCTGCAGCACTGGACAAGATGGGCCAGCACCATGCAGAGCTGGGCATTCTGTGCACAGGAACAGAGCCAGGGAGGCTGCCAGCCCAGCTCTGCTCTCTGCTTTAAGCACAGAGGCATTACTGCATGCATCTCACTTCTTCAGTACAAAAAACCCAGCATTAAACTCTCTATTATATCAACTGTCACAAGCGTTCACCCTCATGTCTGTTCCACAGTGGTCTGAGCAAGTAAAATAAAAATTAATGTACTGCATAATTTAAATGTTCTCTAAGCCAGTAAAATAAAATTGAAGTTCATCTCAGAGTTTTATTCAAGATCAACACACCAGTGCTCTGGAACTCACCGTTTTAAGAGCTGCCTCAACGAAGGTCTGCTCCTTCAGCACAGGAAGGCTGCAGGTGGTAACAGAGGAACAGTTTTCAGGCTCAAAGAAGTCAGGATTTCTCCTAAGCAACAACAATAAAATTAATCATTCTCAGCAAGCTCAGAAGGGAACACCCAATCTTTCTTTGTGCCTCTGTGGAATGGCTGAAAAACGGATTTCATGCAGCTGTGTTTCAGTGGAATTACTCCCACATCTTTCAGGCTGCCATTGTTTTTAAACACCTTTAAGAAACAAAACAAAACAAAACAAAACACAAAGTAGTGACCAAAGCCACTCACCTGTGACTTTGCTTCCAGGTATCTCCGCTGTGCCTACGATTGATTGTTGCCACTGAATTCCTGCTGCTTTCTGAATTTGAGAGTAGGGGATTTCTGAGCTTTTGGATGCACTCTGCTACCACTGAGGTTAAGGTTCAGTAATGGAAAGGATCAGTAAAGGTTCGGTGGGAACAGAAGCTGAGTAAGACAAAGTGCACCTCAAAATCGAGCCCAGGATGCCAAATCTGCAATGGTTGCTTCTGCCACTAACTTTATTATGTGACATGTATTCCCTGCTATGCCACTGCATTCAGCAAAGCAATTCTAACTTACTCCAGCACCACAGTGACACGTGGTCACTTTGGCACACACAGGGCCATCTCACCACTCAGAAATGATATAGTCAAGGTTCATGGTGCAAGTACAAACGTAGTTGTGCTTACAAGCATCCTGCAAACCAGCAACTCCACGTTTCCAAATGCAGAAAGAGCCCAGTCCTAAAACCCAACTAGGAGCAGGCAGCCTCAGTGCTCTTGCTGCTCTGACAATCCCCAGGATGCTCTCTTCCAACTTCTCCCCAGCTGGGGAGCTCAGGTCCGTGCTGGCACTGTTGGGAAGATGGCTGCAGTGTCTGGGGGAGGCTGCCCAGCAATGGCTGCACGCTGCTCCATGAAACGATGGCATAAATCTGGTTCTAACCAAACAAATTGCATTTTTACACCACAAACACACAGTGAAGTTACAAGGGACAGCACAACATACAAAATGGGAAAATTCCAACAGAGTGCTTTAGGGAGAACAGCCTTTGAAGTTGGTAATTATTTTAATTACACTTCTTGAATACGTGCACCTTTTTGAGAGGCAATTATTTTTTCATTCTTTTCCCATCTCGGAACGTAGATAGCATTTAATTACACTGATGCGCAACGGACAAATAAACATTATTGCATCAAAAACATCTCGGGACGTAACTTCATTCTCAGCTGTAGAATCGCACCAAGTTCATCACCAACACCTGAGGCCCAGGGCCCACGGCTCACACCGCAGGGCTCCCCCACGTGTCACAGTTGGCTCCGCTGCCTTCTCCTGGCCGCAGTCTCCCGGCCTCTGAGAGCTGGCAAAGTCCCGCTGCTGGGCCTGCCCGCGGGTGCCTGCACAGCTCGGGGAATACCGACCTGCCCGGAGGGATGGACGGCCCCCCCTGGGCCGGGGCGGCTGCTGCGCCCGTAATCAGCACGCAGGGCAGGGGAGGAGGTTAGGCTGCCCCGAGCCAGGGAACGCGGCGATAACGGCAAGTTTCCACTGAGCTTTCTGAGTTGCAGCACTTGTTCCCTGGCTTGAGTCAAAGCTGCAGTCAGCTCATAGCGTTCCTCGCACTCTCTGCGCACCGTTTCCTGGAGAAGAGTGTTCTGCAAACAGAAACAAACCCTCACTCTGCAAAATGCCATTAGCGAAAGCACGCGTCTGTTAAATTCCATCGGTTCGAGGCAGGGTGCCTGCAGGGCACTGAGGCACGGAAAGCCTGCAGTGCTTCCTAGCACTTTGTTTTCTCTGGAAGTTGCTCTGATGACATACTTTGGTATTTACACACACGTCCTTATCTTGGGAGACAGTGGAAAATATGAGGTAAGTCCTGAGGAGCTCCTCCTGCTCTCCTGCCCACCCTCCAAGCGCAGGGAAGCCAGGAACTCTGCTCCTGGAAGCAGCGAGGCACAGGGTCCAAGCACTGCTATGGCACTGCACTGCAATAAGATGCCTCCAGTATTTCAGCAGTGGTGAACGGCCTATTTTGGTGACTGATCATTAGTTCCCAGATGACTGAGATAAATGAGTATTCACCTAGTATTTTTCATGAACTTTTCACTGTGATTCCCAACACCCAAATGAGCAACCAGCAGTGGTCCTTGAGCAGACAAGCGTTAGACAAGCCCCCAGGCTGGTCTATGACACAGAACTTACTTGTGACGCTGACTTTTCTGGTTTCCAGTTGAAATCAAAAGTCAATGAACAACAAAGAGCAACATGACTAAGCCGATTCACACAAGTCAGAAGCGCTGACTGCACTGATGCAAACAGAAAACGGTCACTTCCCTACTTTTGCTCTGCTAAGGAAGCAGTTGCTGCTGACTGAATGGAGCAGGACAATGGAAGGTGAGCTACCAGGACACGGAGCGACGATGAGCAACTCAGAAAGAGAACATTCTCAGCCTCAACACCTGCACAAACGTTTTGAGTAAACCTCTAGTGCTGAAAGCCTGAGTCTGACCACACACCACACCCAGGGGAGAACAAACGAGTGTCTGCAATGCTCTGCCCATGGTTATGGCAGCAGGCACAGAGAAGGAAGACCCTTGAACAACGCTCAGTGCTCGCTGTGAGCCCTTCCCCCAGCTACAGGACAAGCAGCTGCCAGCATCTCTGCAATCCACGAACACAGTGCTCCCAAACCAAGACCTAATTCATTTTGAAGTTTCATTTTCATTGTTTATCCATATTTTTTTTTCCTGCCACTAATTACTTTGGACATTCCAGTCTAATCTTATCTGCAGCCCCTGACTTCACTGTTTTCACGTTTCTCATGCAGCAGTATGGCTCTCTCCCCACCCTTCCCATCATATTCCAAACATTCAGCAAATGCCTGTGGTAAGAATATGTAGCAGTCACATTTCTCTTCATATAATGATTCACTCGTATGCATTCCTGTGCTACAGAAAGAGGGTTTACTTGTGACAAGTGGGACAAAGGCCCGTTAGCACAGCATGATGTGGGCAATGTGCTCCCACCACAGAAGAGGAACCTCTGCCCCACACAGAGGCACCCTACCATGTGGTACAGGGCAGCATCCACTCATTCCTATGGAGTGCATGAAGATTTTTCTTACTTATTTAGGAAATATTGGACTTCACTGTGGCCTTCCAATACTTGAAGGGAGCATAAAAACAGGGGGAAACAGCTATTTACAAGGGTGGATTGTGATAGGACAAGGGGGATGGTTTTAAACTGAGGAATGTTTTCACCCAGAGGGTGGTGAGGCACTGGCACAGGTTGCCCAAGGAGGCTGTGGATGCCCCATCCCTGCAGGCATTCAAGGCCAGGCTGGATGTGGCTCTGGGCAGCCTGGGCTGCTGGTTGGTGACCTGCACACAGCAGGGGTTGGAGCTGGATGAGCACTGTGCTCCTTTGCAACCCAGGCCATTCTAGGATTCTATGATTCTAATTTTAAAGATATTTTTCTCTTACAACAGCACAGACCAAGATCTGAAATAAGCATTCTTTGAATGATTCCTGCAATCACGTGTCAAATCAAAGCAGAAAGAGCATGGAAGGCACTTCCTTGGCCACATTCTTACCTCCTCTTGCACTTGACTCAAACTGTGAATCAGCTGCGTCCTCTCCTGGGTTAATTCTTCCAGTTCATCTGACTTGTGTTTAATTTCTTTCCTCAGATTACCCAGTAATGATTCGTTATTGTTCTGTTCCACCTTCAGCTGAAATTCAAGTTCAGTGACCAGCCTTTTAAGGCTCTGAATTTCTTTTTCTTTCTCTTGATCTTTCTCTGCAAGTTCAATCTGGACATCTTGTAGCTTCTTTTCAAGAATTTCTGCCTCCATCCGTAAGCTGTTGGTGGCACTGGATATCAATTCAGGTATCTGCATGACAAATACTGTATTAGTCTAAATTCAGTGTTTATCCTTAGATGGATAAAATGAGGTATCAAACAAATACCTTCAAGAAAAATCACAAATCCAAGCACACAAGTCTTCAGAGACAAAAAAACCCCCAAAAAAACAACAAACAACCTGTGATAAATTGTTATTTTCAGCTCATTAAAAATAGTATGATGTCATGAATTTAAAACAACAATGCATTTTCATCACATTTCTTTGACTTTTCTATGCCAAACCTTTTGAGACACTCTAAAAGCTAAGGTTATAGGCACATTTTCAATTTCTAAGTAAAAAAAGTTCAAAACCTCTAGATCTGGGCTGCTATGCTGACCTTAACCCATCAGTGACGGGTCGATGGGAAGGGAAGAAGCAGTGCAGATGGCTCTGTGACAACCCATCATGGTCTCTAACAGCCCAAAGGCTTTCAAATCTGACACCATTAGTTTAATCATAATTAGCAATTGCAGTCTGTGGGCATAGATAAACCATGGAGAGAGAAAATCTGAGGAAAGCAAGAACTTCCACAGCTACACTTGGTACATATGAACCCGTTCTGTTTTCCAGACTTTCCATCGGATGCTGCAGACTGAGATTGGAAAAAATCATTGCATCTTCAAGATGCAGGACTGCACACAGATTTTATTCCTTCACGTGCTGCTTTCCAAAGATCACATCACCTACTGCCACACAACATTCCTCTCAAGCGTTACACACCTTCTTCTGGAGCTCTTCCTGATCTCTCTGGTATTTTGTGATTAGTTCTTGCTGCTTTTGTCTTTCAGAGTCCAGTTCCACTCTGGCTTCTTCTCTGACTTTGAGAATTGCTTCTTTGTGCCGTGCTTCACCTTTGGCCAGATCCATCTCCACCTAGAGGACAAGTGCCTGTTGCCTCCCAGTGAACCCAGGGAAGGTGGGGAAGGAGCACACCCAAGAACGTCCCCAGCTCCAAAGCCTGAATGCCAACACTGTATTTGTGCAGGCTGAATTCTAATGGACTCAATTGCAGTATGTAAGGAATTCAAAAGGCACATTAAACAAGCACGGAGCTATCCTAATTACTTAAAATTATTAAAAGCTCAAAATGAGCTTAATTATAACCATCTAATTTCCTACAGCAATTATGATCAGAAGTGTAACAAATTCCCCTCACGCTTTTTGGGGAAAAGATAAACTGTAATATTGTCATTATTTTGAACATCAGAATCTGCCCAACCATGGCATGGGCAGGCACTCAGAGACCTGGCTTAAACTGTGAGACCTCAGAACTGAGCACTGCTGCTGTAATACATACAGATGTACCTCCTACATTACTGTATGGGAGTTTGGACTCTAACTGCAGTGATAAATATAACAGTACATATTGCTATCAAAGCAGGTCGTATGTCAGAGGCTACTGAAGTACTAAGAGTAGAGCAATATGCATGGTATGGAAAATGGACTCATTTGGAAACTTACACAGGCACTTTTCATACCTAATACTTGACAGTACAGCTGATAACCACAGCAGGAAAACAAACAGCAGCTGATCTGCAGGGAATGACTACTAATTGCTTTAAAGCTACTTCTGGGCTCCTCATTAACCACTTACAAAAAACCTCACAAACATTTACATCCATTTCCCTGTTTTTCATAAAACTTTTTTTTTTACCCATTACAATTCAAAGTTCATCTGTATTTAAAATACAAGACTGGAACACTCTAAACTGTGTGCAATGGCACCCTGACCCAAGGAACGATAACTCTGCCACACTTCTGACTTCTGTCTGATGAGAACATCTTTAGAGCACTTGGCACTCACTGCATTTCAGTGGCTGTGATACCAAAGATGTAATTGCTCTCTCCCACCAGCAGCAGCCTTTATCTTGTACTAATGTGAAGTTGAACAATACGTTGTGATTATGCAGTGTGACCTCATTCTAAAATTATATCCTGCCACGGAGAAGGTAAGAACTTGTTAAAGAGGTGTAACAGATCTTAATTGCTGGTAGTCCAAAAATTTTCTTGAGACTAAATAAAGCTTTCAGACACTTATCACATACTGCACACACACACAAATACATTAGTTTTAGCTACCAATTATGTAAGGCTTAAAACAGAAATGTGAATTGTTGTTCAATAGTATTCGTGCATTTTTCCTTCACAGTTTCTTCAAGCAATTTCTTCTATTGCTTTTTTGGAAAGGTGGCAGCTTACCCCAAAGCCAACATGCTCACAGCTGCCCGTGGTAAGCAGCTGATCCATCCCATGTGAGACCCTGACACTGCAGCTAGGTTAGCACGGTGCTCTGCACACAGCTGGGAAACCATCTGCCATCACACACTGTGGCCACACGTATCTATTTTTTAAATCAGAGGAGAATATTTTTTGACAGAAGACCTCTAACCCAAGCACACATAAAAGATGACTGAGAAATGACAACTCAGGCATGCAGAACGCAGCAATACACACTGAAGACAAGGCTAGGCTTGTGATAAACTTCCAGTAAGAAGATACCCATCAAGAGGCATTTCTGCTTGCACTCCTGATCTGTTGCTCTGATTTGAATGCAAGGCAAGTAAAGTCCATTTTTCTCACCTGCTTATTACTGCATAGAATCATTACAGTTGGAAAAGACCTCTAAGACCATCAGTCCAACTAAGCTATCCCACCATGCCCACCAACCCATGTCTGCAAGTGCAGCATCTCCATGTTTCTTACCCTAATTGCCTGAGCTGAACCTTCCCAGTGTGACTCGAGGCTACCAGCTCTCATCCCAACACATAGATCTGTTTTACAGACCTATACCTTCAGTTTTGGTTCAGCTCACCTGCAAGTAGGAAGGCTCTGTGTTCTCTCCACCTCATCAACAGTGCACATGCTTGGTTTTACTGTGAAACACCTTCCACACGTATTTTTCTAAGCAGATTGGTCAGGACAGAAATCCCCAGCAACACGCTCTCCTGCAGATCAGGGTTTGCAGGTGGCTGTGGCACACAGCTGGGGTGGACTGTTGGTGTTCACCCCTGGGAGTTTGCACCTGGGATCTCAATGTCTGCACTGATGACACAGGTTCTGCACTAATACCCAACAGTTGGAAAGTCTGGACCGAACCTGGCCATCCCCCAAGACCACAAACACTTACACTAAATATTTCTTACATTCAGATCCAGCCTACGTAGAGAGATCACCTATTGTGCAGAAAGGACCTGCTGACATGTTTGCATTTAAGGAGGCAGGCATCTGGCTGACTGTGCAGGTTCGTGACAGATGACTAGGACTGAAAAAAAAAGACACTGAAATTGTGCCAACTACACAGCCAGCATTACCTTCTCCCTCCAGTTATCTTCATTCCGCATCTTCTGCCTTAATGTTTCCTGCAGCTGTTCTGTTCTGTTCTGATGAGAAATCAGCATTAACTCCCTAGAAACCACAAAAACTTGTATGTAAATACGTGCTCTGCCCAGATTGGTGGTGTGCCATTTTCTTGCAATTAAGTCCTTTGTGGCAAGGGCTCCTCTTTTTCTTTGTTTAGTATTCTGTGCAGTAAGCCCAGAGGCACAACAGTAATCACTACTTAGCATTTGCATGCTGCTGTCACACGTTTAATGAATGTTATATGTTGAAGAAAATACTGCAGTTAATCATTCTTCTGCATACATACATGCAAGCCTCAACTATTTTTTAAATCTTCAAGTCAAATTAAGAACACTGAATAACTTTTGTAATACTCTAAACAAATTGTTGCAGTTGACGAACCCAGAGCATTACTACAAGTAATTTTTAAAAGTGTAATAGCTTCTGAATTAAAACCACTAAGTGAAGTGGTTGCTATTGTTGTAGTTACTGTTTGTTATGTGAGGCTTGTAGAGCAAAAGCCCTGGAGAGTTCAAATCCTTCTAACTTACGTTATCAGCAATGTACCAACTGGAACAAGTCACGTCGCTGGGCTTTAAGTAGAAGGAAAATATCCTCAAATTAGCACACAGTATCTTTTCATGCACTACATATGCACATACAGAGCATATTCAAACTCTTTAGCTATAAAAATAGCTTACTGCCTCCTGGTGTACCATCACCAACGCAGAAAATCCTTATCTTCTCCAAAAGCCACTGTTCCCAACATATTTTTCAAGTCAAACAAAGAATATTCTGCCACATTTCAAGCAGGAGGCAGCACTTTATTTTGCCAATAAAAGATAAGTTAATATATCAGTAAGTGAAAATGTATTAGCAGGACGCTTTCAAATAGCAGAGACAAGCCTGTGAACGTTCAGAATAAAATGAATATGTGGATTATACTCAAAGCAAATAAAAATAATGTGGATTTAGGTTGATAAGTGGAGGTCTAAAAGAAAGGCACTCAGATACCATTCCAGGAAACAATGAGCCTCAGTAGCTCAGTGCTTCATTTTCCACATCTGAAAAATAATTATAGGGAAAAGGTTAGCTTTGTTGATAGCTGAGAACCTTTGGAATAAGATTAGATTGGTGGGGTGTTGTCCACACGTTTCACTGAACAGTAGATCACATCCAAAAACCTGGCATATTGTAGTATTTATAGCATTGTTACTGTTTGCAAGTTGCTAATAACATAAGTTACAGGAATTTGAACTCTTCAGGGCTTTTTCTCTGCAAGCCTCATATAACAAATAGCAGCTATAACAACAGCAATAAATAGGTGTTTTGATTAAACTCGAGCTGGGTTGCCCTGGGTTGCATAGCAGAGGGTTGGTGTGCTGGGCTTTTCTTCCCCCTTTTTTCCCCCTTTTTAAAGGCATGTTTTGTTCTACTCAGCTTTTTGTCTATCCTGCAATCATTTTAAAGTCCATCCAATGAATTCCAGAGTTCCAGAACAAGGGCTCAGTGCTGTCAGAGTTCTGCCTACAGGTGCAGGCAATGACTGAAGGCAAGGCCACAGCTGGGCACAGTGCCTCTCTCCCAGTCTGCCCAGTAGCAGAGCCAAGCTCCAGCACCTGTTGGAGAGGTGAGGATCTGGCAGAGAAGGAACACACTGTATTTACAGATTTCTAAGAAGAAAACCTGGGCTGAACACAGCAGTTATCTGTGGTGACTCAGCTCTGGTTACCTTTCTTGCTTCAACATCACCACCTCTTCCTCTGTTTGTGTGAGAAGAGCTTTAAGTGTTTCCAGTTCACTTTCGGATTGACTGGTTCTTCTTCTCAGATCTCCTTCTTTCCTCTCCTTCTCAGCCACTTCTTCCTGCAAACGTTTGCATACTTGTTGGCAAATCAGTAGAGATTCTTCCTTTTCCTTGAGCTCTTTTGCAAGTCTACAGAGGAAATGAAAAGCAACATCAGAGTTATCCTCAATCACAAACAGAAACTGAACGGATGGAAGTAAATTGTACCTGGGAAAGAAGATATTATACAAAAAAGTATATGTTCTTCATGAAGTTAAATCTAGTGACTGGAACACAAAAATAGAAACTGAAAATAGAAAAAGAATAACAGTATAAAGCAGTACAACAGCTGCATTAAAAATAACATTTTTGCTCTCCTTGCTTATAAATACATTCATGCTATAAAACACAACTTCAGCATTTACCTTGACTCAGAAATTCCATTTTCATGTTTCATTTTTTTCATTTCATTTTGACACACATCAAGTTCTGCTGATTTCACCCTAAGAAAATGAAAAACAAAGTGTATTTGTCCAAAGCAATGACAGCCTTTACTCACACAACGACCCAAACACTTTTATTAATCCACTGTCTAACTTGCACTGTCTAGTTTAGTTAAAAGGCAGATAAATAAAACACTCCATTACTTCTTGCTAACACTTTTCAGCAGCATATTCATTCTTGCAGTGTAAATTCAGCCTAACCAGGATCACAAAAATTTAATTGCTGCAAACAAGAAAGTGTGATCTTGCAACACCAATGAATGTTTTGGGTGGGCTATGAATACAAAGGAACAGATAACAATTTAATATGGCAGAGGTCTGGAAAATGCAAAGGTTTCCTGTAATTTTGTCATCATTTCACCAACTAATAACGATGGTTAAGCCTCCTATTTGTACTCAAACAAGTAGAGAATATGTCATTTTATTAAATTGCACCCACATTACATTGAAATTTTAATGTTACACTGAGAAACACTGTACTGTTTATTTAACTCTGTTCATGAAGTCTTTTTTTTCATGCTCAATACTTGCATTATCATTAAAATACTTTGTTGCTAAGCATTCCAAATATTTGCAACCGTGTTTTGATCAGCCCCTCTGAATATAGGAACTGAAAACAGAAAGTATGCATCACGAAAGAATCCTCCCTAGAATTTCAGGAAAACATAGAAAACAACTGATAATATTTGGTCTCGAGGTTGGTTGCACTTTTGCATTGCCCTCCAGCTTCACATCTGAAACTAACATTTATTTTCACTAGTGTACTACGCAGGGTGATGTTATTTCTGAATTGCACTGTGGACTTGCAATGCAGGAAAGCACTCAGAGCCCCAATCCCACAGCCCTTAGAAGTGCTGACAGCTCCCACCAAGCCCCACGTGCTGCCAAAGCACAGACCAGCTGCTTGGAGGGGACCCTGGGCTCCCAGGCTGCTGCTCGGGGCAGTGAGACAGGAGCAGAATGCTCTGTGCCACAACATTAACAAGCATTTCCTATTTTTCCTTGTTTCCTCAGCCTTGTGGCCTCCCATCACCCAGGAGTGGCAGCAGCCTCAGCACGGGCTCTGCTGCCTCAGCACTGCTGCTTTCCATGCTCTGGGGCCACCAGTTGTGCAGTGAGGACCCTCTTTGAGACCTGACAGGGCTTTGATGGCATTTTCTTTACTCCATATTAATTTGGGCTTCATATTCTAACCATGCAGCACGGTAAAATTACAAACTGTAGTAACATAGCAGTGCATGGGGAATGCCAGCAGTAAATTCACATTTACAGTCCAGAAGTTGTGTGGGTTTCACACAATTTATCCCACGCTTAGCATTAAATGAAGAGCCAAATTGAGCTGCACCATGAGACAGCAGAGGAAGGCAAGCCCTGCTTCCACAGGCAGACACGTTCACTCAGTCGGTTAGGAATACAGGCTGATTAATATAACACACTTCTTCTGCTGGTCAACACCTTCACAAACCACCCTGACAAGCAGTGGTGCAATTCTCTTTGAAAACAGTGTTATGCACAGCAGCAAAACAAACAAGCAAACAGAAACCTTACATTAGCAGCTTTTTGTAGTGATCCATCTCAGCTGTTACCTTCTGCAGCTTGTGCTCAGTGGTCTCGACTTGATTAGTTAAATCTGAAACCAAAAACACAGCGTTTATGGCACCCCCTGCAATGCACACCGCAGACCCACGGCTCCCAGCTGCCACACACAGGGGCTCAGCACCTCCAGCCACCCCCTCACAAAGCAGCTTTGTCATTTGTGACACTTGGTTTCCCACTGAAATATAAAAAAAAAATCCTAAGTAAACTGATAATCTTGCTTAAAGACCACAGTGCTGCTATGAAAAACACCATAATTACAAAAAAAAAAAAAAAACAGCTCAAGATTCCTCCTGTATGTATATTTTGTTGCAATGCCTATTTGACTCACATGAAATAAGTTCCTTATGTTTGAATGGAGGGAACACTCACTGTCCTTCCACGTGGATGTTATTCACCATAGATGTTCACAAACCCATTGCACAGAGCCACACACAAGGTAAAACTTCTCTCAAAGTCAGGGCTTCCTAGAAATATCTTACACTATTGGCTTTCTAACATTTTCTGGCATCTGTTGTTCAAGCTGATGTATTTTAGAGGGCTTGGAGCAGGGAAGGGTGTTGATGGAGCATTTCCAGGTGAATCACTGCCATCCCACTTCTTTGGCATTCCTCATAAAACCGTCAGCAGAGCAAAGGATCTCGATGCACCCAATGGGTATGGAAGCTTTCCCACTCTCAGCAATGCTGCTCCACTACGTGGCCTTTCTATGAGTTATTAGCAGCCTTCACACTTTTGCCAAACTCCACGCAACCCAGAATTTCTTTTTCCCGTTTCATAAAATATGTAAGCAGGAATTAATTTGTATTAAACCTTCACTATCTGTATTCAGCAACCAGAGAGTACCTACCACTCACATTATGCTTTCAGAAGCTCACAGAATCCAAGGGAGCAGTTTGGTACATTCCTACTTGAACCCACACTATCTCGGCACTCAGACTACAAGGAGGTCTCAGAAATCCATGGAGACTGACCCTCCTCACAATATATGAAGAGGACAGTTTCAACTCTGTGATGAGGTCTGCTTTCCCCGACAGTATTGAAAAGAAGTGGAAAGTGAAAAGGTCTGGCAACAGTTAAATTCAGCCCCACCAATAAATCAAGCTAAGGGCTGGCAAAAGTTAGCCTGAACTCCATTTGCACTGTGCTCCAAACAGCACGCATCACCTCTGCAGCCATTCTCTGCCCCATTTCTGTAGAAAAGCAGGTTCTGTACAGGCACAGCACAGAGAACAGCAAGCACTCGGCTGGCTGAGGGGAAGCCAGAAGCTCTCAGAACACTGTATGTATGCTACCAAAGCTCTGCTCCCAGCAGCTGCACACACACAGCACGTTCACACCATAAAACACAGCTACAGCCCAGCTAGGGGTGGCTCAAGGTGAAGAGGAAAGTCAGGCACCTCTCTGAAGGCATTCCTCAAGCATCACTTCAGCAAGTATGGCTAACTGCTCAGCAGAAGCACTTGAAAACAACAGTTTATAACCTCTCAATGCTCTCCTGCTGTCTCATCTGTCTGACTGGAAGGTCAGCCACATTTTCCCTCTGTTCCCCAATAAAGAGCCCTGGAGCATCCAAGCTTGCTGCCAAACAGCACCAAAGGAGATGAATCAATGACAACTTACAACTATTGAAAATCTGTTTGTGTGAGAGTTCTTGTCAAAACTTCTGCTAGGTGGGTTTCAAAGACCTCCATGTCAAACCCACAGTCCTGCAGTCACTGAGTTATCTGAGCTCTGCTATCTGCATCAAAAAGCTGTGTAGCATTCACCAGGCCAGGCTGAAGTGTTTCTGCTCAGAGCTGGCACCTTCCTTCCTCCAGGAACGGGAAGTCATGGCCAGGAACACCAAGGATAGATCAGACCACCTGCAGTTACTTTCGTTTACTTCTGTGTCTTCAATGAAGCATTCTTCTGTAATGTATTGTTCTGCACGCTTTTCCAAAGAGACATAATTCAACTTTAATTTCCTGTCATTCATCTTGACATTGGCTTATGAAATAAATGGCTCTGAATGCCTACAGAGAAAGGGGAAAGATTGGCTTCAAACACTAAGCAGATGTTAGACAGAACATGTGGGAACAATCCAACACTGACAACAACAAGCTCTGCTGCAATGTGACTGCTTTGTTAGAACAGATTAAGCGAAGATCGAATTGCTGTGGAGCAACAAGACAAGGGGAGCCCTTTGCACGGGATTGGCTGCTACAGACCAGCTTTTCAAAGATTTGGATTTAACAATTTTTTCTTCTAAGTCTGTAATCACAGAAGATGCCCAGCAATTAGGAACAACTATGTCTTTTTCCCCCCTGTTTCTAGATGTGAGAGGGTGGACACAAGTTGACGAAAAAGGGCTAATGCTTAATTTGGTTCTAGTGCTTTGGGTGGTCTCTCAGCTGTTTCTTCTTGTAGTCAATTTGTTTTGAGAAGTTTTTGTGATGACTGAGCATTGGATGGGAGCTTTTCACAGGGGAGTAGATGGATTCAATTATACAGCTGGATTCTGCAAGTCTTCTCAAGAGAGAGTTCCCACCAAAGTCAATAGGAGCTGCACAGCAGCAAGTCGGAGGGATCAGACCTACCCACAGAGCCTACATAACAGTTCTGCACCGAGTCTGAGGGGCACAGCAGAACTGAGGGCACTAGTGAGAACGGTAATGCAAATGCTTTGTAACTGAAACTCATGTTACAGTTTTAAGTACCATCCCATTTTAAAGGCTCTTCAGACCAAATACATCTCAATATTGCTCACACTGCTCCTGCTCACTAATATTCACTATTATTTACTATATTACACCAATCTTCATTATAACTTACCACAGACATTAACCTTCTTCCTAGAGTAATCTTTCATAGCTCCAGAAGCAGTTTGTTGCTGTAATCCCTAGGATATTTTCAACACATTCCTGACACTGGCCAGCTTGTTTCAGGCAGCAAGCAAGAAAAGACAGCTTTTACTGGATAGTAGGTAGAACCTTAGAAAATGGTTTGATTGTTCTTCATGTCCTTAGTCCATTCTTTTCAAGAAGATTGACTTTGTTCAACATATTTTTTTTACTGGTCATTGTAGGAGGAACGTATTTATCAGAGAAAAAACAGCCTTTTAACAACACTTGAAAGAAATAGACATTTCTTTCAAAAATGTAGAAAATAGAGATTTTCTTTAGTGACCGATCACCCATTTTATGAAATATCAGAGCAAGGGAAGTTCTCTAAGACTCATCTTTGAGGCCTACTTGGAACACAGGAATTTTATCGTCCTGGGATAGCTGAGGTTTTTGGTCAGGCTTCCAGGCAGCACACACACTCAGCTCTGCCTTCAAGGAGTGCCAAACCGTGGCTAAGAGGCACCACACTCCCACCTTTGTGTGTCAGCACTGTCCTGCTCTCCAGCAGGCACAGCACAGAGGATGCACAAAGAAAAGGCATGCTGAAGAACCACAGCTGGTCATCATTTTCCTCCTAACTGGGTGAATTCCCATACATGCAGTCCACAGTGCTGAGAGCAGCAAGTCTGCCTGGAAATGGCTTTCAGGAACTCAGCCACCCAGTTTGTGGCCTTTCCAGATGCCCTGCCAATGGCACGGTGTTCAGGGAAGGTTCCAGTTTCTGCTTTGTAAATAGCAACAACTGGTAAAGTTTTCAGTGGAAGAAAAAAACAACAACAAAACAAACCCACCCCAGTGTGAACTACACTCACATTGGGTAAACAGCCGCTCTCAAAGCCATCAATTTCCCAGATAATTTGTAACAGATTCACAGTGATATCAGTTCAGAAGCACGCATGGTGAAGCTCTGTAATTTTCTACTCTTCCTGCAAATCCCACCAAAAAAAAAAAACCCTAAAAAAAAAAAAAATACCACAAAAAACCCACCAAGATACTTTCTGAGAACTTTGGTCTCACCTAAACAAAAGCTCAGTGTTTCGTCCATGTACACAAAAAGGAAGATTACTTACAGCTCAGACTCATACTGCCACCGAAGCCTTGCAGACCCCAGTCATTGCTGGAGACCCTCCTGCCTTAGCAGGACCTGCTCACTGCTGGTGCACAGAAACTCCTCAGCTCAGCTGTGGTCACGGTATGAATCTACCCTGTATCACTGAATCTCGGGTCGAAGATGACTGTGCCTAGCTGAAAATAAATGCACGCCAACAAAGTTTCTTTGCACCCAATTTCAGAAATGTGGCCCACGTCCTGCTGTCTGGCTAAAGATACCAAGCAAACGCACTCACTGGTTTTTAGCACATGGCTAAAATCAGTACAGGGAGAAAGCAGTTTCATTTTCCCTTCATATGAGCACGCTTTGGGGAAACACTGGGAGGTATTCTGCTTCAAGGACAACACGTTGTGACTCACTACCTGGTCACTGACGAGCAAGCCCTGCTGGGGCAGCCCCCTCCAAGCACCCTCAGAGGTGGGAGGGCTGCGTAAGCCCCACACGCCGTCCTAGAGGAGCACTGGCCAGAAATACCCCCACACACACCAGCACAAGGGGCAGGTAGAGACAGCTACTTGCACAGCAATCTCAGACTGAAGTGGTTTGGACCTCATCACGAGGCTCTCTTGGTGACTCAGCCAGGCACAGCCTCCCAGAGCGGCTATAAGGGGCCCCTGGCAGCTGCCCAGCTCAGCGCTCTGCTCACCACCAACCAGATGAGATCACCTGGGGTTGTTCTGCCAGTTCCTGCAGAGCTCCCCCACCCTCAGGGCAGCCTCTGCCCACACTGCACCACATTCTGCTGGAAAAACTCCTCCCGATGACCAGCCTGAAGCTCCCAGCTATGGCCAATGGCCCTTGCCTTGCCACTCGCCCCTTCCCAGAACAACTTGCACCCACCACCATCATTGTGTTTGCCCTGCAAACTGCTGCCCAGGCAGAGATGGAGTCACCATGCCCAGAGCTGTTCCAGAACCATGGAGAAGTGGCACTGAGGGACGTGGTTGTGATGGGCTCATGGTTGAACTTGATGATCTCAATGCTCTTTTCCAACCTTTATGATTCTACGATAACATTTGTCAGACTAATTTGCATCTC